TCCTCCCCCTCACCTCCCCCCCACCTCCACCGCCTCTCTTTATTTTGGTTCCCCACCAAGTTTACAACTGCATGTCAAGTTGGCAGCAAACAGCTCTGTGTGGCCATTTGTGACGAGTGGTAAACACTAATGTTTTGTAGCTGCTCCAAGTCAGAGCCGCCAAATTCTTGCGACAAACTTTTTCCCACAATCTCTCTCTCTCTCTCTCTCTCTCTCTCCTTCTCGAGAACTTATGAGCTCATAGGGCGTGCTGGAGAGAAGTCAGTGCCGTCATGGCCACAGATTCAATAGCACTGCTCTCTCTGCCTGTCACTCTGTCCATCACACAAAGGATGAAAAAAAAAAAACAGAGGAGAAAATATTCTAATTTTTTTTCCAATTCCCAGCTCTTCGTCTAAGTCGACACTTCCGCCCTACACGGAGAGAAAACAGTCAACGTCGACCAAAGGTTATTAAGTTAGTCCTACCAAGAGCGGCCCTTCCTGCTGGTTCTGTGTAGTTATTCCATCAGTTTCCATTGGCTGATGTTATGAAACTACATGTACTAACATATATATATATATATATTTGTTTGCATCACTACCAAGACTGAAGTTGATGCTGTAGACGAGGCTCAGAGGAGACAAGGAGAGACGTGCTGCCAGTGTAAGACAATGTGTGTTAAAAAAAACAAAAAGACCAGACTTCTTTAGGCAACGCTTGCGAAGCCAGTGCTTCACAAAAATGAAGAACAGATATCCCACAAAAACAACAACAATGTTTGTCTGGATTTCATTTCGCCGTCAGCGATGAATATGTGTGGAACAACGTTCTACAACGGTTCTAAGACGTCCACAACGCTAAAAAAAAACCATCGCCTCCTCCTCACGTTGTCCTCAGAAAATGCACAAAAGCAGATTTTATTAACAATAAGACGTTGATTAGAACCAAGAACCTCCTGTCAGACCGGTCTACAAAGATCAGACAGACGTTCTGGATCTGTCCGCACCAAGAGAGTCAAAACCATTTTTGAAAGTCTAATTATTGAAGAAAAAAACTGGATTATGCATGGTTAGTTTTGACGTGAATAATTTAAAACCCAAGCTTTCTATATCAGTCTTTTTGGAATTTTTTTTTTTTTTTTGACGAGGACACAACAAATCCAAAAGACTCTAAATAAATAAATAATGTGGAACTCAGGCAATATTCATAATAATCCAAGAACTAATTTACTCTCCTCAAGCATCCTCCCTGTTGACTTGTGCAATTCAAACCAACACCCACTCCCTGCCAAACCGGATCATCTTCTCCACAAAGCCCTGACACAGGCACAATCTGTGTAGTACACGCTCCTCTCCACACTGCTCTGGATTCTTATTGTCAGTTTCGTATCAGGGGGTGTGTATTGTCAAAGAGCTGGCGATACGATACGTATCACGATACGGGGGGGGGCAACGATACATTGATATATTGAGATACACAGGAGCCGAGATGTATTGCGATTTTTAAAAAAAAAAAATTTCCCCAATGTCTCTGTAGTCCCAGTGTGATCCTAGTCTGAGACTCTGTTCCATCTGAACATCAGTTCCTAACACTGG